TGTATGTATGTATGTATGTATGTATGTATGTATGTATGTATGTATGTGTCTGCTTTGTATTTTCAATGTAGAATTCTAGTCATTGTCCTTTATGCTATTTCGGACTATTGAAAAATGTTTTTATCTGAAACTTACTTTCTCTAGCATTTTTCTTCTTTTACTTGTGCACAAACATAAATGGACTCAATGTGCTGACTAAATTTGTTCATGTACTATACTTGTAGGGTACCTGTACAGTATCCCATCAGTATCCCAACTTGAGCACCTCCAATCACAGTCCATATCTGAATTTCAATTTTCTTTCTCAAAAAAGATATATATATATATATATAGGTGTATATATATATATTATTATGTGTAAATAAAAAATAAGTGTAACACTATACATCTAAAATATTAAGGTGTTGGAAACAAGTTCATGTAAAAGGCAAAGCGAAAAACTTGGTGGTCATTATTTGATACCTCATATTTTACAACCATTCCAAACAGACTGGGTCCCTTTAAGGAAAAGGACAAAAGCAGCGTAGTATGTTGGCAGACAGTTAAAGGGCTAAGAGGACTTTGAAGTAACTTTTTAGCCACATAGTCCAAGAATAGCCACATTAACATTTTTTTCTCCATCTTTTCCAGGAGTATGATGCCCAAAGCCCTGGACGGCCAGATCGTCATGGAGAAGACGCCCCGCTACTTTGTTACCGTGGACACGCCGGCGAGAGTCCACGCCATGTCCCAGGACGTAAAGCTGATCGTGGTGGTGCGCGACCCCGTCACTCGAGCCATATCCGATTATACACAGATCATCTCCAAGACCCCGGACATCCCGCCCTTTGAGACCCTGGCCTTCAAAAACCGCACCACAGGTACCCCAGAACTCCAGAGTTAATGCTCACATTTTTTTCAATTAATCAATTAAATGTTGAGAAACAGATTAGCTATTTTTAGAAACTAGTGAGCCTCATCCGTGAACAACAATCATTCACTTAAGGTAAAGAAGTTTGATGAATAGATAAATATATGATCGGTTCTGTTGAGACTTCCACTTGAATAGAGAAGACAAGTCTCACATCCTTTCATTAATTAAAAAACAAATAATTGAATTAATCAAATGTGTTTGTTGGGTGAAAATCGAGTTGTTGTTTGGGGCAGCATCTTCTTCCTTGATTCTCTCCCTTATAAATAGTTCTCATCTGACCCGTATGCATAATGAATCCAGACGGAAACGTCATAAGTCTTTCATCTTGTAAGCTCATGGTAAAAGATGAATAGATTTGTATAGCTTTCATTAAGAACTAGCTGGTGAATCTGAATCATCGGGTAAGCTGAAGAATCAATATGATTTCTTAGGAGCTGGTAAAAACTTAAAGAAAAGAACACCAAATTGGCCCACAACATGAGTTCATCTTTATAACAACTGATGTTTTCTATCAGCTGAATGATGAAACTTCATGCAAATGTCTATAATGGAGAAGCAAGTCAACAGAGGTCTTAATGGTTAACTCATGTCCTTTCTCTAAAGTGTTTATTCAGCATTACACTGGAACAAGTCAATGATATACTAATGTTTGAATATTCTATGCTCTGGTAGTCTTTCCCTTGCTGATCATGGCGGTCATTGAGTAGTTTGTGGACATTTGGTGACTGGTCCAGCAGGTCTTCAACTTGTGGTCTTTCTTTAGAAAAGAAGGTTATACATTTTGGTAAATGCAAGATTGGGCACTTTTATTGGAAACTGATCATCATATTACGCAAAGGAGACAAGCATCTTAACAAATAACCAGGCCACACTTGAAAGAAATCAACCTACCTGCAACTCTAGGGCTCATTATTTTTTACAACTACAGTTTGATTGTCATTGAGGGTAGGCTAAATGTTATCCTGAATGTTGCCTTTCTACTCATTTTTGGATACTGAATGACTAACAAAGTAATATCTATCATCTGTATCTTATTGATGATGTCGTTTTCTGCCAATAACCAGGCTTTTTCTGTGCTTCCTGTCTTTGTCTCCAGGTCAGATTGACTCTCTGTGGAGCCCGCTGTGGATCGGCCTCTATGCCCAACACATGGAGCGCTGGCTGGCTTGGTTCCCCAGGAGTCAGATCCATCTGGTCAATGGCGAGAGGCTCATCTCAGACCCGGCTGGAGAACTGGGCAAAGTCCAGGACTTTCTGGGCCTTCAGAGGATAGTCACTGACAAGCACTTCTACTTTAACAAGACGAAGGGTTTCCCCTGCCTGAAGAAGCCCGAGGGCAGCAGCAAACCCCACTGCCTGGGGAAGACCAAGGGAAGGACGCACGTCTCCATAGATAAGGAGGTCCTTCAGAAACTGAGGGACTTCTACAAGCCCCATAACCAGCGCTTCTACCAGCTAGCAGGACAAGACTTTGGATGGCAGTGACCCTTTGACTATGTGGAACTAGAAGCTTCTGTTGAGACCTTTTGGGGTGGAAACCTGTGCGAATCTGCCAGATATGACTGCGAAAGATTGCACGAGACGGCTGGTTTCATTCTTCTGACCAGCCAGGGAGCATCTCAGATGCTTGCTAACGAAAGTCCAACAATCAGTGATCCTGTTCCAGTATATGAGAGATAACAGCATCTTACATTTAGTGGATCCTAAGTGGAAGGGGTTGAACCGAGTCTGTGGGTTCAGAGGCTGTAATGAGGCTGTGTTTGTCATAGATCGTGGCTTTCTAAATGTTGAACAGTGAACGCGAGCATAGCTTTTAGTGTCTTTGGTCTGCAGTTAAATCCTGACCCACTGTCAGCTGTAGTTGTACAAGGAACTCAAGAACCGAAGCATTTTTGTACACATTCCAATTTCCATAACTTTGTTTTTCAATTCATTTGCTCTCAACCCGTGGAGTTTTAAGAATTCAAGGGGCAATAAGTGCATACATATTGAGTATGCTCCTGCAAGCATTGTTTCCAAAAAGGGGGGATGAATCTTTTATGTGGCAAACAGCAGAAGACTGAGCAGGAGGATCTGGGAATGAGCTCGGATATAACGGAGTGGTTTTGTATTCTTGAATAATGAATGTGGATAAGTGGATGTGGGTACCGGTGAGGATCGCTTGGCATATTTGTATGCTATGCTTTGGTTAGCGTCCCGCTGCGAGACAAGCCCACTGCGCCGTACCTTTTGAGGAGTGAAGGCTTCAGTGGAGGGCGACCCAAACAGAATCAAAACCTGAGAATCAACACCGGGCTCTCCAGCTTCTGCTTACATCGTTGTTGGTTTTCAGTTTGCATGTATTTGCACTAGTTTGAAAACATGGAAATAAATGTATTTTTAAGCAAAAACATTTCTTCCTCACGATTATTTCTGTTAACCACTTTCCATTGGATTTGCTTCTGTTTATATGTCAAGAGTCTGATTGTCTCGATAGATATTAGTGATTGATAACTTATATATTATAAACATTTAGTGGCTGTGTTATAGATAAATGGATGAATCTAGTATGGATGGGTGAAAATATGGTCAAATGATACAGATACTGAGAAGTCACACACTGAATAGTTAAAGCGATACTGCCATCTTCTGGTCATCAAAGAGAACCTTTACACTCCATAGCAAACATGATACCAACAAGATTTTTATTACCGTACATGTTTCTTGTTGATATCTAAATATAATGGTACCATACATTTGAATTCATATTCATATACAGGTTTACTAATAATTACTCCCAAAAGATTAAGTAAATCAGGGAAACTAAACAGAATGAGCCACTGTAAATACTTTAAGTTAAGATGTACACATGAAGTAAAAGAAAAAGTTCCAAGTTCAGCTCAGGGAGGTGAAACAGAAGCCAAACTCAAACAGAATACATCTGTAGAATGGCTGACATTGCAGATAGCTTGGAAAATATCAAGTAAAAAACACACACACACACACAAAAAAAAGCACGAATACATAACCAAATGCACTTCGAATTAGCCATAAAATGCAAGACTGATTCTGGACTGTTAATACAACAAAAGTACCACACTGTCAAGTAAATATTCAAACATATAGTTGACCACGAAAAGGGATGCGCACCTCCCGCCGATTCATTTTGGCAGTTTGCACAGAGAGCTACGCAGTTTTAGATGCAGTTGGTCAGAAAAACGGCGTCCCCCTTATTAAGCATGCTGTGTGATCAGTTGGCATGCTGCATGGATGTAAAGGCACTCAGCAAGTCCTGCAGGGCTTCTCCCCACATGGAATCAACCTCCTACCACCCAGGTTTTTTGATCCACGGCGGGGTAAAAAAAAAAAATCAGCTTTTCCCTTTGTAGCTGCTCCCAGTCTACCCACAACCCAGGATCTGCTGAACTCTTTGATGCAAAAACTCTTGGGGTATAAGGTGTGTTTCGAACCAATTCAGTGCTATTTGGTGTCATAAACCTAAGTGGACCCATCACTCAAACACAACTTTAGCCGTGTGTACCTTGACTCAGTGGGTGAAACCAGCGATGGCCAGAGTTTTTTTATTCTTTGATCTTCTTGAATGAGAAGACCGATCTTTGGCAGCGTACTGATGGAGAAAGCGGAGAGTCTGAGCACCTTTCATCGAGCTTTCTGGCTTTTGGTTTGTTGTTCAGCTTCGCATTCTTTTGAATTACTGGGTTTTGACAGCATTGCTTTTTCAGAGAAATACACACTTTGAAACAAAACTTTGGAGGCAGTGAAGAGGTCATGGTTCAATCTCGGACCTATACAGAACTGTATATTTCAGTTTAGCCTCATGGACTTTATATTTAGATGTCGTAGATATTCTTAATCTCATCTAGTTTATCATCTATTCCTTTATTTGTAGTTATCGTGGAAGCTGATTACCAGAATTCCTTCTAGACTCAATACTAGAACTCAATAATAGGACACAAAACCGGGAGGCCTCTTTCAGTGTAAACACAATCAGTAATCATGTAGTTCATGTAAACAACTGAGCTGAGAAAATAATTAAGCTTAACCTTGTTATTTACATGAGTTGTAATCTCTATTATGCGTTACCGGGAGATTTATGGTCATATTTCTGTAAACGGGGCAGATCGAATTAACAACCTGTGCAAGTAAAGAATATAGTACGTCTTTCTTTGGCAAACACCCGACTACAACAGAGGAACTACTGGTAAGCACCGAATGGTTTGTACCCTACCGATTAAGATGTTGTTCATCAGCTGGTCACAAAAAGGCCAAGCTAGCTAGCGTGAGTGAACGTCAAGGGTCTCATATTCGGAAGACCTGGTGGAAAAACTCTTGTGAAGCCTTTTATAGATTTATAGAGCTTGAATTGACAGCCTGACTTTACTTCTAGTCTAAAAGTAAGAATAACTGCCAACACATGTTCACCAGTGGTACCCTTGGATACACTGTGGAGAACCATCACGAGGTCTTCTTCTTTTGTGGTGTGTTTAGGCTTAAGATCATTGTAGAAGATGAATAGATTTGTATTGCTTTTATCTGGAACTAGCTGGTGAATCACAAACATCAGGTAAGCTGAGGAATCAATGTGACTTCTTAGAAGGTTGTAAAGAAATAACGAAATGAACACCACACTTGTATTTAGGTGGCCCAAAACACGAGTTCATCTTCATGATAACTGATGTCTACGATAATAAACCATGATGCTTTTTAAAGTATGTACACCGTGCTGCCTGTGAAAATGTCAATGACACACTAATGTCTGAAAGTTCTAGAATGTGTCTCTAACAATACTCCTCCCCCTGTGGGTCGGGCAGGTCGTTGAGGTCCAGGAAGAGGGAGGTGTTGGAGAGCTTGCGTCCGTTTGAGGACAGGTCCAGCAGCTCCTCGGCCGTGCTGGGCACCGAGCTGATGTACATGTCCCACACCTGCTCCGGGGAGTCCAGCTCCAGCAGCTTCTGCTTGATTTTCATGTTCTTCTCAATGTTCTTTCTCTTGTGCTTGAACTCCAGGATGGTTTTGGTGTAGCGGTTGATGGTGGTGACTGAGGAAGCCATGCAGGCTGTGAAGGAACCCCAAGCCAAGCTGTCAAACAGAGAAAAGAGTCAGTAGAATAGATACAAAAAGAAACATGTCAGCTACTTTATTTAGTATGACATTATTGGGTTGGATCTAAGAGGTTTAAAAATGGAAACTATTTAGGATCAGAAGTCATTACTACCCGCAATGGCAATGTGATATGAGGCCAAAGAGGAAGATAAGAACGGACAGATCTATAAAGATGTTTAACTGGTCCGGCAGGCATTGGAGTAGACATGTGGACCACTACTCTGTCTCACCGTTTAGCCTTTATACCTTCTGATAGTTGAATGTCAGAAGGAACTTTCATCCTTCATCAGTCATGGGCCTTTAGTTACTCAGTCAGATAAAGTGGAATTAAAATGCCACTTAAAGGCTAAAAAGCCTATGTTCGCACTGCAACCTGAAGTGATCTAAATCCATTTTTTTGGGTGAAATCCATATTTTCTTTGCGTGGTAGTTATATTTGGCCCTCAAGGTCTTTATTTTTACACCCACAGTCTGCCATTTCTTGGGAAAGGCTAACTAAAATTGCCTGGTTAAGATAAGACCTTCGAGTTTGACCTGGATAGAGCTCTTCCCCCCCAAAATACTGATTAAGTCAGAAACATTGTCCATTCAAAACTTATCAAGCTGGAAAGTAAGGGCTTTGAACCATCCAGTTAAAAGGATAAAGGTTATTTCTCATCTGAAGCTTCTTAAGACCAAGATAACTTTTTTTCTTTCTTTTTTTTTTTACAAGAAACTTATATTTGTAGTTCAATTCTGTTATTAAGCTTGTTATTATTGTTATTAAGTTATTCACTTGTCCTTTGAGGCCAAGGCTCACGGGGGGTCTCAGCTCTTATTAGTCACGATGTTCCATTTTAAATGCTGCTAATTATATTTCGAATGACATGGTCACTTTATTTTTATTTAAAATGTATTTTAAAAAATCCATCAGCAACATTTTTTCTAAGTTGTTATTCATTCATTTTGGAATGCTGACATAATAATTACCCTACAGCAACGTTAAAAAAGGCTGTGTTGTCAACTAATAATTACTGCATGACAGGAAAAATAAGACTCTTTTGACAAGTATTCAGAAGACCAACAAAAACCACAGGGGAAAAAAAAGTTCTTTTGACAGCTTTTCATGTTAACAATATTGAGCCGTGCGTGGTCTTTTTAAACCATTGTTGCGTCCTCACACAGCTGCTCCTGGAGATGAACTTTTCTGTCATCCACCGGTTTTTTACTGAGTCTAACAGGAGTCCTGAAAGTGCTTTTAAGCACAAGAACCACTCAGTTGTTCACACTCATGTGCAGTTATGCCATGATAGTTCCTTGTCAATGCATTACACGGTCAGACTGCTCAAAGTTGGATGTCAGTTCATGCTACTCAGTGTCAATTTTGCAGCGTTCAAGTGCTGATGGGACTCCATAGCCGAGGACAACCTCTATAAATTCCTTTTTTGAACTTTGCCAGAAGGCATTGTGCAGTAAAAAAACAAAAAAACATCAACTTTAGACTCCTATTCTGTCATTTTGAAGACTGCAGGTACAAAGGCCTTGGGTGTATTTTAGCCATTTAGTTTTATTGTTCACGTATTTCAACCGGCACAGATTCAAAGTTGGTAAAAGGATATTTTTCAAGCGTAATACTTTAGTCATAGAGATGTGAATGAGAGCAATGAGAACATAAACTCACATATAGGACCAGCTGTAGTCCCAGGACTGAGGTTTCCAGTCCTCTGGGCCTATGCTGACCGTCAACTGGAAGGCCGTGGTAAACATCATGTGCGCAACCATACCCAGAAGACCTGAAAGACACGGGGAGAGGGAATGGGAAAAGCTCAAACTCAACAGTTTTCAGGTTTTACCACTAGGTGTCAGTGTTACACAACTGTCGCACATCAAGATCTGTTCACAAAAACAAGTGAACACTTATTTATCAGACGTTTCTATCCAAAGGATTTCGATGATAAAGGGAAATAAACAAATAAAAGCAACCACTATAGCTCAACATAGAGCTTTAAGAGTTCCATCAGGAAGGATTTTATGAATAAGTATATCAAATATTTAAATTTTACACACCTACATTAATAAACACGAAGAAATAGTAAAGAAATAAATTGTTATTTTATCCATTTGTGGTGGGTTGAGTTAAATCAAACACAGCAGTGTTAACAAACCAATAACTATTATTAGATTGTTATTATCATTATTATTATTTTTATTTGCACGATTACTCAGATATGCACTGATAGGCACGTTACGCTTGAAAAACAACTCCTAGAATAGTATCATGTAGTACATTTCACTACAGTTTTGCCTTATTGTAGGAGTTTTTGAAATAAAATAGTATTTTCTACTTATCAAATGATCAGGTTTGAGTTAGTCAAAGCTGGGAAAGTTGGATGATTACATCACCGGACCTTGATCACATAAACTTAATATACAAGTATGTGAATTTTGATTACATATACCTAAAAAACACTGTAAAAACGATGGCATACGATGTGATAATGACAACGTTTCTCTGTTTTACAGGTACAGGTATTAGCATGGATGAATCTTTCTGTGCAGGGTCCAGCGTACAGAGGCCACTGGTTCCTGCATTAATCAGAAGCCTCTCCACACGACTTGCAAACAGCTCAAACTGGAACAATGAAGGATCCGCTGGCAAAAATATAGCAAATAAAGCCAAAATGAGAACACTGGTTCATGAGATAAACCGTCTGCTGAGCACCCACTGTAGCTGCAACATTTGTGTGAGACACATGCGGTTTGGAATGGTATACAGCACTCAATATTCACGGGTATATTTGGAATAAAAATCCTTGAAAAAGTAACTTATTGCACCAGCAAATCAACTACTAGTAGCAATAGAAGCAGCATAGCTAGCCGGACTGGACTAGTAAAAACGGACCTGATCTAGTTAAATTAATGTTCTTTTGCCTTTTAGTAAGTGATAAACCTATGGAAAAAAAGTGTTGTTTTAAAAGGACGTGGAAAAATTTTGAATGGCGAGATAGCAAAGAGTATATTTATCGTATTATGTCCAGTTGATTTTTGCTACTGAAACTCAAATGGTTTTAATAGTCTCTTCAGTAGAGCTACTTTATGAGATTTTATTAAAGCAATGATGAAATTCCTGTGAAATAGAATAAAAAACTTAGTTACGTTTTGAATTTTTTTCCCGTTAATTTTTACTGAAGTAAAGAATTATTGGTCGGACCAGTGGATTCACATACAAAAGGATGCAATGCCATAGAAAAACCGAAATGATGATAATAGTATCCCTTTTTAAATCCCATTTATATCTGTGACTGGAATAAAAACAGTGTCTCTCCGATGTATTAACGACATGGTTGTCCTCAAATATTTTGATTGGGATGGTACATTTTACACATGTCCCTTATTGTGTAAATCATAAACCTTAATTCTATGGCTCCATGAAGACTGTGGAGATTACAGCTGGATGATTGAAAAAAAAATCTGTGACATGATTTAAAATGAATAACAACAATAAAAAAAATCATGTTTTGACACAGAATTTGAATTGAACCCTTTTCTTATGTTTTATACACTGATTGTTTTTGCTTTAAATACATTTTCAAACAATAAAAAGAAGCAAGTTCTCTTTATGTGATCCCAAATTTACTCTTGAACCAGGACAAATGACAATGAACAGAACTCAGATTTAAGATACAGGGTGTGTATTTCCCTGTTTGTTTCCCTGCACCATTCATCACCCGAAATATGGAGCATGAATAAAAATCAGCCAATCGGATTACTACATAAGCCGTCCTCTGTAAATCCCCGGACTGAACAAGAGAGCACCAGATCCAGCTGCAAACACCTAAATTGTCATAAATGTCGTGTCCTAAAGTGTCCCACAGCAATATTATCGTAATTCTGTGCAGATCAGGGACGGCTTGTTCTCAGAATAAATTCAGCTTCTCTCACTTTCAGCCTGTTCTTCTCAATGGAAATGAAGCGTGTTTGCTCCAGACAAGGTGAGCCTGAAATCCTGAGTCCGGGTAATCTACTTTTAGGAATAAAGCACTTAGCGGGGACATGCCACACTGGGGACAACGGTTTAGTGTCTTTATTGTGTACTAGGAAGCAGCAAAGTCAACAATTAGAACAATTATGGAGGATGGAAGAGTTTAAGAATTTGGAAAGAAAACGTTTTAAGCTTTTCTTGTTTAACTTTCTTCACGAAAGTTGAAAAAAAAAAACATAAGTTCATTCTGACTATGTTGTTGTCAGAACATTGTCTGCTGAACTCCTGTTGACCGTACATAATCCGTCATTCCAATGATAAAAAAAACAGTTTTATTCAAACATATAAACAGGAAAATAGCAGCTAATATTTGTGCTAAAAACTCTTCATGCTGTGATTTGAATTAGTTTGTCAGAACCTCAGGTACTACTTCTCTTTTCTATATTTTTGTAGATTTACACGTCTCTTCAGGTATCTTATCACCAAGAAAATAATTATTTGTTGTGGTTTGCTGAAATAATGATTTATTGTGACACTACCAGACATTAAGCGATTTCATGTGTGCTCGCTCTAGATTTAGATAGAAAACAAGGTGATTTCTAGAGAAAAGGACCATAAAGAAATGTCATTGTTTGGAAAGCATATTTTACAGAGGTATTTGGAGCTGATTATGTCTATAACAAACATACAAAAGGGTAAATGTAGTTCTGTAATCTCCCTCTTGTGGATAGACAGTAGAGTTGATTATTTTCATGGAGTTTGTGATTATGGATCATGACCTGGCTCTCCGGATGGGTGACTCATCACATAAAGTAGTCCTTCTGTTCCTCACACTTCTCCAGTAACAAGACAATGTTGTTTTCTACCGAGCCAATTTAAATGAATAAAACATACTTCAAACTGAGGATTAGATAAGAGGGTTAAACAAATCCATCAGTGTAGTGAACGGATGAAGCTTTCTCCAGCTAGAAAAAAAGAACACCGCAAAAACTGTTCAGAAACATTTTGATTAACAGGGAAAAAAAGCCAAAGGCCTCTCAGATTTCCAAGATATTTTGGATACAGGCCGACCAGAGGAGGACCAGTGAACTGGAGCCTGCTGGAGCCCATCCCAACTGTTACTGGGCAAGAGGAGGGAGACACCTGGCCAGTTCATCACCAGCCCAGATCAACTGTTAACCTGCCATGCATGTTTTTGGAGGAAAGACTCGCCGCCCTCCGGGGGATTTGAACCATAAACCCTCTTACTGCCCAGTAGAATTCCCGCAGACCCGATTTTTACCAAAAAATTACCTTTTTTTTCTTTTTAAAGCGAAAGTTTGAATACAGAAATCTTAAAAGTCTGTGATACACAGCCTGTCTACACAGTTAAATTGAATTAAATCCAATATGGGAGTATTGATTGATGAGAAAATCACAGTTAAATACATGTTCATGGATTAGATTAAGCTTTTGACAGATCGGAGATCGTGACTGGACAAAAACAGCCGGATGTACAAATCAGATTCTAAATAATCAGAGACAGTAATGAGAGGCATTTTACAAAAACGTCGTGTTGAACAAATCCAATCTTTGCCATTGAAAATGAGACAGCTCGTCTCATCTATCTATCTATCTATCTATCTATCTATCTATCTATCTATCTATC